TTCCAAAATCCGACCACAAATGGTCTTCCAAATCCTCAATCAAAGGCCTAGGTTTCTAAGCCCTAGTTTCTCAAATTTTAGCTTTAATTACAGCTCTAATCCATGCATTTATACCATAGAATCGAGTTTTTAAGTCCAAAATTCTTACCTCAATGAGTTCTCCTTGAATTCTCTCATCAAATTCGCCCAAAGCTCTCCAATTCGTGTTAAAAAGTGTAGAAACCCTCTGAAAATCGCGAAGGAAATAACTTATGTTCTGTCCAGATATTTCCGCATCTGCGATCATTCCACCGCATCTGCGGTACCGCATCTTCGGTCTTGACCACCGCATCCGCGGTCCTCACTTAAGTCCGCTTCTCCGCATCTGCGATGACCCATCCGCATCTGCGCCATCGCAGGTGCGGTCAAATTTCTGCTTCTGCGATCCCAGCCAAACGCACCTCTGGCCGCTTCTGCGGCCCATCTTTCGCATGTGCGGCGCCGCACCTGCGGTCCCCAATCCGCAGGTGCGGAAATACCAGAAGCAGCAAAAAAATTTGCAGCTTCAATCAAACTTCCAACTCTCCATCAACCATCTGAAATTACCCCAAGGCCCCCGGGACCTCAACCGAAAACACAAACACATCCCGTAACCTTATTTAAACTTGTACCAACCTTCAAAACACCTCAAACAACATCAAAACCACCAAGACGCATCGAATTCAAGCCTAAGGTTCTAAAATCTTCCGCATTCCGCTTTTGATCAAAAAGTATACCAAACCACGTCCGAATGACCTAAAATTTTACACATACGTCCCAAGCGACATAACGGAGCTACTGTAACTTTCGGAATTCCATTCCGACCCCTATATCAAAATCTCACCTATCAACCGGAAAATGCCAAAAACTCAATTTCGCCAATTCAAGCCTAATTCTACTCCGGACCTCCAAAACATATTTCGATCACGCTCCTAATTCCCAAATCATCTCCCAAAGCTATCCGAACCATCGGAACTCACATCCGAGCCCTCTAACACATAAGTAAACATCCGGTTGACTTTTCCAACTTAAGTCTTCTTAAAAGAGACTAAGTGTCTCAAACTTTCTCAAAACCTTTCCGAACCCGAGCCAACCAACCGGATCACATATAAAACCGATAATCAAAGCAAATAGAAGCAGAAATGGGGAAAACGGAGCAGTAACTCATGAGATGACCGGCCGGATCGTCACATGAATACATGGAAGAAATAAGAATCTCTCCTCTCTTTCTCTCTATATCTCTGATCTATCTTCTTATTTTATATTGTTACTTTGAGCTAAGTTTCTTAACACCGTATCATTAAGTGTGTAACTGAGTTTTATAAATAATGGAGTAAAAATCATTCAAATAAGTTAAAATTGTTATAAAATAATAAAAGAAGAAGAAGAGTATTACAAAGAAAAGTACGGAGAGAGAATTATTATTGATTTGGGATGATTTACAATGGAATAGAACCCCTCTATTTATAGGGCAAAAGTGACTTAGCCACCAAGTAACAAATCCTAAAATATAGACATTCGCCATAAATACAATTCTATTTATAACACTCCCCCTTGAATGTCTATTCAACAAATAATGTACTTCGCTAAAACCTTAGCTAAAATAAAACCCGGTGAGAAAAAATTCTAGTGAAGGAAAAAGAGTACACATATCTAACAATACGCCTTTTTGGTTGCCTCGTTAAAAACCTTGCAAGGAAAACCCAGCGGGAGAGAACCTTCTAAGGAAAAAAGTGTACAACGCGTATTAACTCCCCCTGATGAGATAATCAATTGACATCTTTGAGCCTTTGCATTCCAATCTTGTGCACCATCTTCAAAAGATCATTGGTATAGACTTGGTAAATAAATCAACCATATTAACTTGAATGAATATATTTCACCTTGAAATCATCATTCTTGATAGATATTGTAATGTCTTCATATAATGTCGTGGAGACTTTTTCAATATCTCCATAGTGGCAAAAAAATTCGCTAACACATTATCATACTTATAGTTATAGCAATATACATTTGTGCATAAATTGCATTGAGGATGTGGTACTTCAATATCAAGAATTGTATGCTTCAAGCAATTTAAATCCTTCAGGAATTATCATACAAGTATAGTCAAATAAGCCATATAAATAGACTTTAGATTTATATCACGTTTTCATGTCATGCCGACATATAAAATACATGAAAGTGATTGTACACACCTATTGACTTTATACTTTCAAGTGTTTGAACTGCAGGTCCAAAGCTACATGTATTTCATATGAAATCAATTCTACTTGAATTGTTTCTCCAGACTTAAAATCCTCATAAATATTTAGCGTTATTATACATGTCGTCGATAAACATTTTATATCGGTTCCAGCATTTTTTCGTAAAGACATAACATAGAGATCTCTTCATTCATATTTTCAGGTACCTGGATCTCTCCTGAGATTAGTATTATGTCATGTGATCTTCTAGATCACTTGCCTCCTTACTGTGATCATTTAGATCATTTGCTCATCTTCTTTATCAAGAATTTTATTTGAAACCGATTTGTCTATACGCTTTATGTGTACCATAGACTTTGCCCTTCTAGGACTTATTCTAATAGGAGCATTTGCATTGAGAATATAGTTACTTTCTTTGGGGTCAGCAAACGCATCTGGCATGCTTTGCAATAAATTGCAGATGAATTATCTTTTTATGAACTTCAAGTTCATATTATCTATTCGAGGATCCAGATGTACAAATGAAATTCATTCCACGTAACTTTTTCTCAAATGTTTATCTTGTCTCCCCCTCATGTTAGAAAAACTAACTTTCTTCCTCGATTTTCGGAACCCATCTTTGTGCATTATGGTGTTAATAAAAATATACATCGTACATCAATAATAATAAGATGGAATTATTTGATTCCTGACCCTGAACCACTTGTGAGGGGAGAATGTAATATACTTTCGTATATAACGTATATCAAACTGATATAGATAACTTTGTTCTCATAACAATAGTTTAGCTATTAAGTAGAGGCACTCAATAAATCATCTTGCTAAACCAACTGTGATGTAAACCAACTTATCAAAATGAACTTTCTTGAATAGAAAATCTAGAAATTATGCTTTAAATTAAATTATTGAGCAAGTTACCTCGCAAACACCAGGTTGCGGGTTACTAATAATTGCACATGTAACCATCTCATATATGCATCTTATGTGGTATACATGGCTGGTGAATGGGCCCATATTCGCATTTGATATTTCCAGCATTCATGGGATTCAATCCCAATTTTAGTTGGTATATTAATTAATAAGAACAAACAACATAAGAGAATTCCTACAGAACTTTCTAGTTCTTTAATATTTACCCACATGAATTCTCTTTTATTTTGCACATCATGCTTAAATTAACATGGCTAAACCAATTATGCCAACTGAATAAATTATCAGTATTGATAAAGTTCAGGTTTACACCATGACGTAAGCAATTATCAATAAAATCCAAGTTTATTATGATATGGGTTTTATATCAATAAACATCCACTTTATTGTGGTATTCTTTTATTTGTGTAGTACAAACTGGAGAATAAAGTGGGGTAACTTTTCACATACATATTACCCCGCTACAAGTTGTAGTAATAAAAGATATTAAATCTTTCCTTTATTTATAGTCTCAATATAAACAACCGCTTTCGCGAATATTTTAGAAACTCAATTAAGTTTCTTTGAGACTTACTACGACACAATAAATTGACATGATAATCAATTGTATTCCTCCAGAATAGTAATAATTGGCTCTTCCAGAGCTCTCAATTAATTTGGTACTACCACATATTCATTAACATCCATATGGTGAATATCTCTTTTAAAGAGAAAGTTATACCATTATGGTCTTGGTCAGAACTCTATACAAGATATGTTCCTTGCATATTGTTGCCCTTTAATAATCACATCGCCAAAATATTTTGGCGTACCATACGTATGTGACCAATGGCCATTCATGCCATAATATGGAATTATTTTCTTAATTCATCTCAAATCTCCTTCTAGATGTGAGTATGGTATATTTACTACCACTAGCATGTTCATATTCTTTCAAGAATGAATATGTATTCATAAATCACATGTTGTCACATTCATATCATGAATGGACCATAATCATCTATATGTGCTTTACAAAATCTCGTGCCAAATCGATGACAAGCGTTACTTTTACAAAGTGAAAGATAATTTTTTGAGAATCCTTATTATTCTCATTACCACGATGATGACGATTATAATTTCGTCTATTACCACGTCCACATCCATTGATACCTTTACGGTAATAATTTTGTCTTTTTCAGACTTATTACATATTGTTACCACATTCTCTTAAGGGAATGAGAATGAAGCAAATTCAATGGGACGAGTTTCCACTTCTTTGCCCACAACCATACATGAATTTGATCATGGCAAGGCATAGAAATTTTACCACTTTAGGTTGTTATAATTTCTTACAAACTCTATTAGAGTTATAATCAAAATTTATTGTCTTTGCTTGTATATAAAATCAGATTATAGAATTTCAAGAATTTAAAGGAGAAAAATAAAGTAAAATACTTACCTTAAATCCAGAATTTAATTAGGAATGAAGTCATAGAAGAATTGACAATCATTATGCTCAATCCCAAAGCTTCTATTCAATTGGTTAGAGTCTCGTGCTGATAACGTGTTATAAAACAATAGAAGAAGAAAAGAGTATTACAGAGAAAAGTATGGAGAGAGAATTCTTATTGATTTGGGATGATTTATAATGGAATAGAACCCCTCTATTTATAGGGCAAAAATAACTTAGCCACCAAGTAACAAACCTAAAATATAGACATTCACTAAAAATACAACTCTATTTATAACAAAAATCTTTTAGAATCATTAAACCACATTAATTGTAAAATAAGATCTTAAATATTATCGGCCGCTCAAATAGGTATAAATAGCAATCAATTTCAGATTCCATAGACATAGTACCTCTTTTCTCCCTCCTGTCCAGTGTAATTCCCTTGTAATCTACACATATGAGATATGACCCCTTCGCTTTCTCCATTCTTTTTCCGCCATTGAAAGTGACTTGCATCTCAGCAACCCCTTTTTAGCGACCCCCCATTTTCCATAATACTTTTGAAATATCGACGTGACCTTAATTTCTCTCTAGCTTCTCGTGATCTTCAACTCTGTTTATAAACTGAAACGCCATTCTCAGTACAAAGTGCTCCACTGTAAGTTTGTTTACTTACCCTGTCTAGAAATTTTTCTGAATAATTTAGCTCATGATTAATGTCGTTTTAACTTTTTCCTTCTGTGTTATGATGTGGCAAATTCTGGGGTTTTGGCGCATACATGACTTGTACTCACATTTGCTTTAGGATTTTTAAAAAATTATGTTCTTGTTTTGAGATAGTCTGAACATAGTTGAATGGACGTATAGGATTTATATAGGGACTATAATTAGTGTGAAATTGAGGCGCAGTTGTTGTTGGTGAGGGTGGAGGCAGATGGACTTCACGTTTTAAAATCTGGGGGTTCTCTCCCTCTGTGTGTGTGTGCGTGTTTTGTTTTGTGTGACTCTGTCTCTGTGTGTGTGTGTGTGTGTGTTTTGTTTTGTGTATATGTATACAACATAAGCAGTGGGAATCTGCATGCCAAGGAAGTAAAACTTTTTGCTGGTTTAGTTTCAGCTATCTGATCTTGAACTTAGTAAAACTTTTTGCTGGAATTTAGGTTATCAAAGCTTCAATATTCCTTGCAAAGAATATATATCTTACCTTTTTGTTGTTAAAGTTTTCAACTTTTTGCCATGTTCTTGCATTTCTTTTCCTTCTCTCTGACTGTTATCATGTGGCAAATTCTGGGTTTTCTTCTCTTTGGTGCATACATGGCTTGTACCTCCATTTGCTGTAGAACTTGTTAAATTTTTCTTTTTTCTTGTTCCGAAATGGTCGAACGAAGTTGAATGAATATAGAAAATTCATATAGGGACCACAATTACTGCGGGATTGAGGTGCAGTTGTTGTTGAAGAGACCCCACGCTTTAAAGTCAGAGGATTCGATCAATTTTACATGTGTGTGTGTGTGCGTGTGATTTAATTGTTTTTTATATGTATAGATAGATTGAGTGAAAAGCTGTGGGAGTTTGCATGCTAAGAATGGAGCAAAGCTGTCTAGTTTAAGCTATCCGATCTTGAACTTAGTTAAATTGTTTGTTAGAATTTCGGCTATCAAGACTTCCAGATTTCCTTTCGTTGGATATTTATCCTACTTTTTCTGTTGTTAAAGTTTTCAACTTTTTGCCGTGCTCTTGCATGTTTTTCTATCTGGCGTCTTGTCCTCTTAAGGACTGGATTTCTAGGAGTCTCTTGATTGTCTATGGTTCACCTTCAGGCTCTTTTGGATATCTATAATGCACAATGGGGAGCTCGAATTCTCTAACCAAGAAATGGTGTCAAGTTCTAATTTTGGTGAAACTCCAGAATGTAGTTCCACGGAAAGGCTTTTCAATGAAATTCTCTCGGACATGCACGCTTGTATTCATACCCACACTTGCAATCCACCCGGTCCTGATAACTCACACACACACACTTGTTACCATGTTCACACCAAGGTTGTTCCTCACCCAACCGAGGATAAGATCCTCAGTGATGATACTTCAGAGAATAAGTTAGGAAAGAAACGCGCTTTGAGTAATAAGGAAGCAGTTCGCAAGTACCGTGAGAAAAATAAGGCTCGGGTTGCATCATTAGAGGATGAGGTAGTTAGGTTGAGGGTTATAAATCAGCAATTGTTGAAGAGGCTACAAGGTCAATCCGTCTTGGAAGCTGAGATTACCAGGCTCAAGTGCTTGCTTGTGGATATCCGAGGAAGGATTGAAGGTGAAATTGGAGCTTTTCCATATCAGAAGCCAATGGAGAGTGGGAATGTATGTCAGAATCTTGTTAATTCTAACCTCCCTGGAGCTTATGTGATGAACCCATGTAACCTACAATGTGATGATCAGGTTTATTGCCTCCAACCCGGTTCAGAAGAATTAAACGGACAAGGCCTCAATAGTTGTGGATTTCAGACTCTTCAGTGTTTAGGTAATCAGGAACCTAAGGAAGTTACTGGGTGTGCATTGGCCTATGGTACTCCTACTGCTGAGGCTTGTTCCGGGAATAGGAGAAAAGGTGAAATTCACATTCATTTGCATTTCTTGTTTCTGGCATATTATTCGAAAATTAATTAACGTTGACTGTTGACTATCTATACCCAAACTCAACGAAACATCGTCCTCTTAGTACACATGAAATCTGTCTGCCATTTAGATTTAGGTCTAATTATCTTCGTAAAAGTAGGAATTCATGTTGTTCAGTCACATCATGTTGGTGATATAGATTAGACTGAATCCTATAACCCTTTGCATTTGAAGGCCTTCATTGAACATGTTATGTACTGTAGTTTATTTTGTTAAATGAAAGGATAACCTATAAAGAATATCTCTGTAGAGGTCAGTTAAGATGTGTTACAAATTCTCATGCAAAGAAACTTTCTCATCTGTGAAAACTAAAAACAGTATATGCTTCATAGTACATAACAAAATCCAAGTGCTATAATGGCGTATATAAAACTCTCAAGGTTCTAAGGGTTTTTTTTTTTTGGTATTATGATAGTCACTGATTATATTGTTCCAGTAGTTTGACATTAAGTAAATAACAACTCAACTAAACATTTAAATTTTAGCTTTTAGTTTCACATTAATATTGTAGAAGATTGTTTAAATTTGAAGCCAATGATATAATCCAAACATCATTGACTTAAAATTTTGAATAGTTATACAGGTCAGTGATGCAAATTCTATTCTTCAGTTATTGATACTTTTACCCCTTGATGCTAGTATTGCTAAAGAAATTTTTGTGTAGTCCACCAAATCCCTAAGAGACTGTTTTCATTCTAAGTAACATATTTTCTATGTCTTTACATTAGTTATTGGCTTTTTTTATAGTTAAAAAGTGAATTTTCTGTGTATTAGTTGGACTAGTGGCAAAAAGAAGAGAAGTTTGATGTCTGAGTTTACTTTCCTAATGAGCTGAATTAAGAAGCTGATTGATAGAATGAGTATAGTATGATGTTTCAGTTGTGCTTTCATCTCTTCGTATTGATTTCGCTTTGTTTTCTTTTAGGAGGGAAACGTGCAGCAATGGCAAGTTGGTCATGAACTGAAGGAGGTGTCTTTGGTCTTGATAATAATGTACATTGTATTATGTTTCTTCTACTTACTTTGGGATTTTTTTCCGGTGTCTCTTCTTTGCTAAGTTCAATTTTATTATATTTCCCTGATTCGCAGTTATTTATCTAGAATAATGGATTTAGTTAGTGTGCATGCTTAAATAGGCGACATGGACAGTGCGGATTCATATAGCCGAACCCAACTTGAGGCCTGGTTGTTGTAATGGATTTAGCTAGTAGACATGAAGATGAGACCAAGAATTTGGTTTTATGTGAAGATCTTGAGGCTTTGTTCCTCAGCCTAGTGCTAGTTTTGTCCTTTTGATAAATACTCCTCTTGCTCTTGAATTGTCCAATTGATAACATTCATGTCTCTGTCTGTCTGTCATGTGAATTTCGACACAGTGAAGGCAACAAAGTTTAGTTTGTTGATAAGATTAAAGATGAGACAATCAGAAAATTCTCTTTTTTAAAGTGGATTGGGATGGTCCTTAGTTTTTTCCATCATTGTTTTACTCTATGAGTCATCATTGAACGAGTGTTTTGTATGTTTCCCATCTTCTTTATGCACAAATAGAATCTCCTTGTTTGTTCCCCCATCTGATGGTGTTCCAAATAATGGACTACCCCAGCATACAGAAAGGAGATTTAGTTAGTTACATGAGGGCTTTTATGCATTGTCGCATTGATGCTTGCTAGACATTGTGACCTATAGGTTAGGGGGTTCGAGCCGTGGAAGCAACCTGCTTGTATTAGGGTAGGCTGTCTACATAATACCCTTAGAGTGCAGTCCTTTCCCGAATCCTGTGTAAATGCGGGATGATTTGTGCACCAGGCTGCCCTTGATGCTTGCTAGACAGTACAGGAGGATGAGCAGAATAACATGTTCTTGAGAGTAAATAGACCTGAATCGTAATTATAACTTTTAACCAGTTTGACTGTGATGTTTGAGCATTAGCAGTGAAAGAGACATCAGTAGCATCATAAGGAGGACCCTCCTTTTGAAGTACAAAAAGAGTTACAATACATATGAGGTTCGTCTTTCTCAACGTGGTGTATGATAAGAAAAAAAGAAACTTTTCAACGCAAAGTAGGGCCACTCATCCGGAAGAAATGATGGAGATTGAGGGCCAGACCTTCAATTCCAGTAACTTTTGCTTAGATCCTGTATTTGTATAAGAGAATTCATTAAATATGTATAAATATCTGATCGAGAATCTAGTATTAGAACAAGTTATGGGTTCGATGGCAAGTCCAGAACTCATAAACTTCAAATTTTGAATACCTTCCCTTTTTAAGTTCTGACTGGTCATCCCAAGACCTCGTCCTGCAGGCAAAAATGACCAAATCAAATAACTGAGATTTATATTTTGACAGATTGTGAAGAGTGTTTTCAGTACTTCAGTAGTTATCATTTGGTTCTTTATTAGGTAGCTTGAGTTTTTCTTTTTATTTTTTGTGTGTAGTTTCCAGCTGCTCCTGGTTTCTGTTGGAGTAAGACACAACGGTTTAGTGTCTTACCATTCGTAGCTACTATTCAATTGTTACCAGTTTATATCACTTGTATTCATTCACTCTATATGGCTGTATCAATGCATAGAGTGATACATACCATAGAGTGATACATGCTATCACTGTATGTGACTATACATTGTATACACTATATTTAACGTTGGCATTTTGTTACAAAGTACAACAAGTAGCTAAGAATTGTAATTATTTCAAAGTGTATCAGTATGGTAAATACATGTAATTTTTCCATCAAATAATGACCCAAAATTTGTAATGTGTTTAAGTACTGTTAGAGTAGATCTGGCCCAAGATAGGCATCTTAGCCTTGACACCAGTGGTAACATTTACGGGAGAAATTCAAAAATAGTCAGGTGGTCATTCAAAAATAGCCACAATTTCAAAAGTAATTGAAATTTAGCATAGTATGCTGGAAGTTCATACACAGGTGCTCCAATCTCCAGTATATTATGCTGGAACTTCCCGCGTGTTGGAGTTCCAGCATAATATGCTGGAAGTTCATACACAGGTGCACCGATCTCCAGTATATTATGCTGGAACTTTCCATGTTGCAGCAAAATAATGGCTATTTTTTAGTGACTTTGCAAACGCTTGCTATTTTTGAATGACCAGTCCGAAAATTGGCTAGCCCGTGCTATTTTTACTAACATTTACGTATCAATCTTGCTAAAATTTGGGAGAAATTCAAAAATAGCCAGATTTACAAGTGGTCATTCAAAAATAGCCACAGTTTCGAAAGTAATCGAAATTTAGCCACTTTTCATGTAAAGATAAATCTGAACGAAAACATTGTTCAAAATCCGAAAAATACTCCAGCATCAGCATATTGTAATGGAGTTCCAGCATAAGTATACTGGAACTCCAGCATAATATACTGGAGTTCTAGTATAATATACCGGTCCAGTATAATATGCTGGAAATTCATACATAGGTGCTCCAGTCTCTAGTATATTATGCTGGAACTTTCCGCGTGTTAGAGTTCCAGCATAATATGCTGGAAGTTCATATACAGGTGCACTGATCTCCAGTATATTATGCTGGACCGGTCCCCGTTGCAGCAAAATAGTGACTATTTTTCAATGACTTGGCAAACGCTGGCTATTTTTGAATGACCGGTCCGAAAACTGGCTAGCCCGTGCTATTTTAACCTAAATTTCGATAACTAGGGTTGGGTCAGAGTTTTAAAAACGCCCAAAATATGTGTTGTGTTATGTGGGGCTATTTTCTCTCGTTTTCTTTGCCTGCGCAATGTGTTATGCCAAATGATAACAAGGATCTGCATATTGAATTTTTTGCCTCGCCATTTTGATACCTACTGAGTGGAATACGCTAGAGAAAGAAATTGTAAGAATAGCGTAGGCTAGCCAGTTTTCAGACTGGTAATTGAAAAATAGTCAGTATTTGTAAAGTTATTGAAAAATAGCCACTGTTTTGCTAAAATGCGGAAAGTTCCAGCATAATATGCTGGATTATGGAGCTCCTGCGTCTAAACTTCTAGCATATTATGTTGGAACTCCTGCACATTATGCTGGAATCTCATACGTAAAAAGATTCGAACTCCAACATATTATGCTGGAATTTTTCGGATTTTTAAGGGTATTTTTATTCAGATTTTATCTTTACACGAAAAAGTGGCTAAATTTCGATTACTTTTGAAACTGTGCCTATATTTCAATTATCTGTTGTAAATCTGGCTATTTCTGATTTGTGCTGCTCTTCTGTTTCCTTTTTCCCCATCTCCAATTAATCCAGAATACAAGTGTAAATCATGAAAAAGAGAGTTTAATGCCTTCAAACGTCTAACTCGATCATAATATTTTGTTGTTACATAAATGATAAAGGGTAGGAGTCGCTAGCTAAACTGGTCTACAGTAGTTAAGAGATCAATCAAAAATTCGAACTCGTGACACAATGATTCGAATTAAATTATTCTGGAATATACACAACTCGTTATGTAACATGGTGTTTCTATCTTTCAGTCATTGTCGTCTATACAAAAAAATAGCCCTTGGTAGCTGGGGAAACATGAAAATCGATTATGTGGTGAAGATTTTACTATTGTATTTCCCGAGTCCGAACTAAAAGGTTGCAAATTTTGACTCAAGAGACAAAAATAAATTTAAAAAAAGTGTTGAGGACAATACTATGTATAACATATGTAAAACATGCGCTATACCTTAACGGTCAGTTACCCCGTTAAGGTATAGTGCATATAATACTTGCGCTATGTGTAGAGCGCATATATTCCTGAGAACAGGGGCGGATTTAGGGGGGCGCAAGGGTGTTCACCCGAACACCCTTCGCCGAAAAATTACACGGTATATATAAGGCAAAATTTATTTTTTACCTCTATATATTAAGTTTTGAACACCCTTAACATAATCCAAAAGTGTAGTTTAGTGGTCAAGGGGGTTCAAAATTTACATATGGTCATGGGTTCGATTCCCACTAGCTACCAAAAATATTATTTGAACCCCCTTCGTGAAGATCCTGGCTCCGCCACTGCCTGAGAATACCATACAAATATAGGACAAACACAAAGTAAAGAAAAAGAAAGGTTGGGGCCTAATTGCAAGAAAACAAATCAGTCTAAATCGGAAAAAAAAAATGAAAAACTTCGTTAGGGGAAAAAAAGGAAAAGAGATTAATGGGAGCTTGGATACTCTAAGGGGTCAGTTTGGTCGGGAAACAAGTCATTCCATGATTAATTATCCAAGATTAATTATTCCACCTTCTCATGGGGATTAAAAAAAATACTACAATCTCAGGATAACTAATCCCGAGATTATGTAGCGTAATAGCTATTTGAATAAGATAAAGGAACAAAAAGAGAATTTAAAATAAGAACCAATAAGATTTTTCATTCATACCCCCTTTTACAGTGACTCGGCTAAGATATATACTCCCATTCTTTAACAGCTGTGAAGATTCCTCAACCAATGCACAGTAGACAGCCTAGGTACTATGACTAACGGCTATTCCAGAAAAAGGACAAGACACGTGTCGACTCACAAATGAGACAACAACAACTAGACTAAAAAGACCAACTAAAAACTAAGAGGACTAGAACTCAATTTACCAGGATTGAATCTTAACAAAATAACCCAATTTCAATAACCACAACATCCCATTCCCCTTCCAGAACCTTGATCTTCAAGGTTGAAAATCTGGAAATTGTGAGGTAAGGAACGAAAAGTCTTCCCATGTCGCATCTTCTGGAGCTAGATTAGCCCACTGAACCAGAACTTGTATCACCGCGTGGTTTCCCCTTTTTATCATGCGCCGATCCAAAATTGCAATTGGTTCTGCCACAAGTTGCCCCTCCGGCGTGCTGAAAGGTGGTTCTTTAATTGGGAAAACCTTGGGTCCAACCTTCTTTTTTAGTTGAGAGACGTGAAAAATAGGATGGATTCGAGATTCAGCTGGTAATTGTAATTCATAGGCCACTGGGCTGATTCTCTTAATCACTGGATATGGACCAAAGAATTTGGAAGCCAATTTCAGATTTTTCGGACAGCCACTGAAGTCTGGCGATACGGTTGAAGTTTGATGAAGACTAGATCCCCGACC